GTGACAAGAGATGGCCAGTTGGGACTTTGTCTCCCTCATTGTTTGGAGACTTCATTAGTATTACCTTCATATATTTTAGGAAATTTCCACTGCACTAAATTGCCCTTCAAATCTTGCTGTCTCTCCTGGCATTCCCTCCCCCAACCCTGTCTCCCTTCAAGCTACATCTTAACCCCTGACTTACGTTACTTATAATTCAGGGGTGTAGCATAGAAGGGAAATAATATAGCAAGAATGGAAAGATGAAAAAGTCAAGACACTCAGGAGGAATATCCCTCTTGACTTAGCCATATCCATTTTCTCACGACTATTCCTGCTCTCTGGTGTGGTAGGTTTAGAACATGGGGCTTTGGAGTGATGATAAAGTTACCAGGGGTGAGGAGGGAGGGATCCTCCTGAATGAGATTTCACCATTTGCCCATGCAGAAAGAAGGCACTGCTTATGAAGCAGGAAGTGAGTCCTCTTCAGATACCAAGTCTGCTGGCAACCTGATTTTCAACTCCCTACCTTCAGAATTGTGTGAAACAAGCGTCTGTTGCCCATAAACCACTCAGCCAACAGTATTTTGCTGCAGCAGCCCAAACATATTAAGACACCCCTACATGCCAACAGCAAGGGACCTTTCTTCCATTCATGCCAGAGTTGGTGATGACTTAGAGTGACATTTTTGCCTTGGGCCCTTCCTGTCCAACTGCTCATGTTCTTTTTGATGACACCCATGCACGTGGTCCACAAAGGCTCTTCAGGGACGCCAGCAACACTGCAAAGTGCTCTGGTGGGTACAACATCACCAGCCACCATAGCCTTCTAGCCACCAAGGCCTGAAAAAGGCGGGGCAGACTGGGGAAGAAACGTCAAACCTTCTCACGGGACCTCATGGTGACATTTCTTAAAAGCTGTGACCTTCTTTGGGCTAAGCATACTGTTTACTAAACAGTCTGTTTTTAATTGCTCCTTAGGGTTTTAGGAAGGGGGGTCAGGCATATAGCTTCTGTTACTGCGTCCTACACCATAAGCTGGACACTGCCGTCTAATGTAACATTCAGTCTAGTTAATGATAAACATGCCCCCTCAAACAGATGGCTTTTGACTCCCATATAGAAGTTGTCCTCTGATCTCCATCTGAGAAACACAGCGCATGCCTGTCCCCAGCCACATTCTGTGAATGGTTTTACTTTCACATTACTGTTTTGGAAGGTATCATTACTACAGCATTTCTGTTATTAGTGATTAGCATTCATTGAGTAGATATTCCTGGTTAGGGAAAAGGGATTGGGAAACTGCTGGGTCACATTAGACCTTACAGTTTTTATCACAGACCTGAAGTTTACATCAATGGACATTACAAAATGCTGTCTGTTGTCTCACATTTTTGACAGATGAATTTAAGCATCTTTATGTAATCTGATGAACTGTTTTAACATAGGAATATTTTTCCAGTTTTGGTGAAATAATTAGATGCATAAGAAATAGGCTTGACCATCCTTGTCACAAGAACTGTTTCAAGCATTCTTTCTGACTCACTGCTGGTGAGAGATTGGGCCTTATACCAAGAAAAATTAAGTCTAAGATTAAAAATTGAAAAGAAAATAGTCCTTTCACATTACTGGGCAAAGGTCCCAAACCAACCTTCTCAGGTTTTAGATAACTTCTAACGGAGCTTTTGTAGATGACAAACTTTCTCCTACCACACTAGAAAACACATGTGTGCTTGTAGTTAAAGTGCTTCTGCTGTGAGCGGGTCCCATGTTTCAGTATGGATCTGGATTTTGGCTTGTATCGACTTGTGGAGGATAAATACCTAACTATCCCTGTCCCTGGGGGGGAAAATCAGGAAGGAACTGAAACACAAGGCCTTTCCTCCCATTTTCCATTCAGGCTCGCACAGGAAATGAACAAATAGTGGTTCTCAAACACAACATTGTCCTTCTCTGTGCCGAAATGCCACCAAACCTGGCAGGAATTCCGTGTATTTCAGGAGCTGAGATTTTAAGGACAAATGTGAACTCCGATTTTCATTCTCTGCGGAATAAACAGCAGAGTGGCTTGTTCCCAGCTTTGCTCACGTCCACTCTTCCTCCATGGCCCAGCTGTGCTCTGTGAACCTTGTCAACTATTTTTATTTCCATACTTCGTTGGAGAGGACCTTTGCCCTATTGTTAAAATTCTCATGGACATCTTCAAGAAAGGCCGTACATAAAGCTTCTGCTCCCCATTCTCCACATTAGGATTTCCATTTCTCAAGTTTCCATCATTTTCTATAATTGAAAAGTATAAAAGATTTGGCGATACATATGTGTAATGCCAGCAATGGCCACTATAACCAGAAATGAAACTAAAAATTATTCAGTAATTCACTAGATAAAATATGAACATATTTTTTTGAAAGAGGAAACAAATTTCTTCAGAACCAAAAAGATGGATTTGTACTTCTAAACACACACACACACACACACACACACACATACACACACACATGCACACACACACAGGGGGGAGAGAGACAGACAGACAAACAGACAGAGAGACAGACACAAAGACAGTACATGAAAATTTTAACTAATGCAAAAGTTACTAACAGGACAGATGAAGTTTTCCTATTGACTATGAATAATTTTTTAACGATGGAAATGAGACAAAAGTACAAAAACCTTAAATTACCTTAATGAAAAGGGTGACCTAAAAAGGGGGACATGCTTAATGAGAGATTTTTAAATTTCAGATTAACATATGCCCATATTCCTACCAGGTTTCCTCAAATCAATACATGGGTTTAATACAAAAACTAAGAGATTCCAGCGTGACTTTTAAATTTAAAAGGTGGTTTATTTAGGAAAACTAGACAAGATTTAAAATAGATTCTGAGAAGAAAATGCATCAGGATAAGCTCTCCCTAGTATTAAGAACTATAAGAGCTCCAGCATAAAGCTCTGTGTTGTCATGTGGTGATTGGAGGGAAATCATAGAACAGAGGACATGGCTCATAAGTGACTCCTACTATACACAATCCTCTAGTAAATGATAATGAGATATGAAGGCATATTCAACAAATGGCACTGAGAAATTTCAACTATTTAGAAAGAAATACTTCACTTAATAATAAAATACATTTTAAGTAGAAAGTTAAACAGTAAAATAATGAAATTTTCAAAGCAGAAAAAATGACTATCAAACATTAGAGAGTTCTTTAAAGTTACAAGTGTGCTGAACCAAAAGTAATGTAACATTTGGCCAAAGGAACCCCAAACTCTCTCTATATACATATATTTGTATCACACACACACACACACACACACACACACACACACACACACATACACACACATATATGTATGTGTATTTGTGATAGTGGGGATTGAACCCAGAGCTTTCAGACCTCTATCACTGAGCTACACCTCCAGTTCAAGCCCCAACCCTTTATATTGTAGCTTCTTTCTCATGAAAAAACTCTTCCCTCCCTGTCTTAGGGTTCTGTTGTTGTGGTGAAACACCATGACCAAAAGCAAGGTGGGGAGGAAAGGATTTATTTGTCTTACATATCTCCATCACTGTTCATCATCCAAGGAAGTCAGGACAGGAACGCAAACAGGGCAGGAGCTGATGCGGAGGCCATGGAGGGGTGATACTTACTCCCTCGTGGCTTTGCTCAATCTGCTTTCTTTTTTCTTTCTTTCTTTCTTTCTTTCTTTCTTTCTTTCTTTCTTTCTTTCTTTCTTTCTTTCTTTCTTTCTTTCTTTCTTTCTTTCTTTCTTTCTTCCTCTCTCTCTCTCTCTTTCTTTTTTTAATTTTTCGAGACAGGGTTTCTCTGTGTAGTTTTGGAGCCTGTCCTGGATCTCACTCTATAGCCCAGGCTGGCCTCAAACTCAAAGAGATCTGCCTGGCTCTGCCTCCCGAGTGCTGGGATTAAAGGCATGCGCCACAAGGCTCAGTCTGCTTTCTTATGGAAACAAGGACCATCAGCCCAGGGATGGACTCCACCCACAATGGGCTGGGCCCTCCCCCATCAATCACTAATTAAGAAAATGCCTTTTTCAGTTAAGATTCCTTCCTTTCAGTTAATTCCAGTTTGTGCGTCAAGTTGACATAAGCCAGCCAGCACACTCCTCATCCTCAGGCCCTACATTCATTCCAGATAGAAAAGCATACTAAGTATCATATAAAAAAGGAGAAATCAGGAATGGAGAGATGGCTTAATGGTTAAGAGCACTGACTGCTCTTCCAAAGGACCTACATGGCAGCTCACAACTGTCTGTAACTCCAATTCCAAGAGATATGACACACTCACATAGACACACATATAGACAAAACACCAATGCACAAAAATAAAAGTAAATAAATCTGAGGAAAAGGGGGAGAAATCAGAGTGATATGACTGAGTTCAAAGGAATAAATGTAAATACTCCAGCATCATGGAAGGAAACGAATTGGCCCGGGGTTGCATCGGTGTGCATGCTGGCCTCTCACTGCTGTGTCCACGACCCCAGCTCCCTCAGGTTATCAAACACTAACACTGTTTGCCATTCTATGGAGAGCCTCGAGGGTCAGGGTGAGAGCTGGGGCTCCTGGTGATGGGAGACTGAAAGAGCTGACTAACCCATTACTTAAGCCATGGATTCATTAGAAGCTATGCAGAGTGGGAAGTAGAGTCAGAGGAACATCCTGATTAGGGGAAGGCTCTGTGATGCCTATAATATCAGGATAAGGTAGACTATCAAAATACTACTGTGTTCCTCCTCAGGTAGGGGTTTCTCACCATTAAGGAGCTCTGAGGCAGTGAGGATGTAAGGAATGAGAAAGATTGGAAAGGAGAAAAAAACCAAAAAATTTCCCTCTCCACATCAGCCTTCTGCGCGCAAGTCATATCCCCAAACTGTGTTAAGATATCTAACATGAGAAGTATGAACCCTGCTTCCTCGTTTGGAACATGATTTCACTGTGCATAAAATTAATTTTGTGGAACTGTTTGGTAAATAATTGAAAATAGGAACTGGAAAGATACCTCAACAGTAAAGAACACTTGTTGCTCTTCCAGGGCTCCAGGGTTGAATAGTGGCCCAAGAACCATTTATAACTCCAGTTCCAGGGGATCCAATGCTCTTTTCTGGCCTCTGAGGGCATCAGGTGGTACACAGACATACCTTAAAAAAGAATTAAAAACAAGTAGGCTTAAATTGCTAAAAGAGATAAACAGCAATACTTCCATTAATGGACATGAAAATATGCAAAAAAATGTAATCATGAAACCAAGGAGTCTCAGCTTTTGAAGATGATAAAGTTCTGTAGATCAGTTGCATGTGGTTTGACCATACTTTACACTACTGACCTGTACTCTTAAGAATGGTTAAGATAGTAAGTCTTATCTTATTTCATATTTTTTTCTCCTACAACAACAAAGGTGCTTCTCCCTGGGAGATTGTGAGTTCGTTTCTCTGTGGGAGCAGGCAGAGGGGAAGGAAGGTGGTGTGCATTTCCTAAAGCTTTCGAGGTGATTTTTTAAATAACACTGAGTGGGGCACTGCCTTGAGGGACTCGATGGGAAGGAAACCACGTGAATGTAGGGGAGGAAGCCTGGGAGAAAGTGTGTCTAGAGAGGTATGAGATAGAAAGCAAGCCCAGAAGTAGAAAAAATGCCAGCTTCGCAGTTACTGATACTAGACAAACTAGAATGTGAATCACAGAGCTTAGTTAACAAGGATGGTACATGATTATCAAAAGGGAAACCATACTTGCTTACAAATTTGTATGTTATTAACAACGGTGTTTCAAAATATATAAGATTTCTATTGCTGTGATAAAACGCCATGATAAAAACGCATGTTGGGGAGGAAAGGGTTTGTTTGGCTTACACTTCCACATCATTGTCCCCTCCTTTCAGCTAACTCTAGCTTTCATCAAGTTGACAAAAAACTATCGACCACACATGGCAGCCCATTATTTAATAAAGCCGTATAACTACACCACAGTGGCTTCTGACAATTGTGCCGTCTCTCTCAAGGTTTAGAATCATCTAGTTGATCCTTACTGAGGTCACTCACAAGGTTGAGCCCCATGACTGCTGAGGCTAGCGTCACATGAAGGCTCTTTCACCCAAGGTGTCTAGAATAGCTGGTTTCATGAGTAAATATTCCTGGCACTCAGGGATCTAGAACTCAGGTATCTAGAAGAGAGGACCGAATGGGCAGCTGTTTCTCTAGACACCTCTCTTGAGCGGCTTGACCACCTTTATACCATGGTGGCTTCTGGGAGCCTGGACTTACGGTAACTCAGGGCTTCAAGGAGAGACAGGAAGGAAACTCTTAGACTCAGGCCCAGCCACTGTCACTTCTTATGTTTTCTGTTGAGCAGCCCGCCCAGACTGAAGGGACACATACAGGCTCTGCCTTTCACTGGGTAGAGTGACGGTGAACAGTAAGTCAGTGTCATCTGCTGAAGGACAGAAGAGCACATGGAGAATCTACATGACCCCAGTGGACAGGCTGCTACCAGCAGATTTCCACATTTCATGTGATTGTGTTCCAGCTCCATCTCCATGGCAGGATGATTGTTGAGAAGGAAGACATGTTGATGACATCCCACTTAGGATATCAAGGCATTCCCATCGAAGAGTGGATGGATGTCAGGGAGGTTAAAAAAAACGAAACAAAAACACAAAGGGAATATAAATTCAAAAAAGTCAAAGCAACCATACATACAAACAAAAACAATACCCCTACCTCAGAAAGTCCGTGTCCACTCTTCCACAGGACACCTCTTCTCCAGGCACCTCCTTTGATTGCAATAAGAAGTATGACCTGTGGCAGCGCTTGGCAGGCCTTGGTCGGTGGCTGATCAAAGAAGAGTCTCCCGCAGAGCTGCCCCTGTTCCACCCCCGTGCTCAAGGGAGAGGAAACAGCAGTCATGTCAGAGTGGAAAGGGAAAGTGCCATCAGGGCCACAAATGAAGAGCTTCCAGCTCCTCTCACCTCCTTCACAGTCTCCTCTGGTACTCCTGACTCTGTGGCTGAAGGACATCAGAGCTGTCCAGACAGTTCCCCTGTTCCTTCCCTCCATACGCGGTTGTCTGTAAAGCAGACCCGGATAACTCAGAAGGCAAAGGACAGAAGCCATCACCCACAGGCTTCCACATGCCTGCCCCCAGAGAATGCCAGTCAAATGTTATCTGTCCTTCACTATCTCACCAAGATTAGCGCATTAAACAAAGTAGGAAGTTAAATATGATTTTCCCTAGTACCCTCTTTTATTTACCTTTTTGCCCCAGTAGGAGGAAATCTTTCTGTTGGTGTCTCCTGCTTCCAACTCCTGACATTTCACTTGGATGTGTTCTCTCCCTTTGGCTGTGTAGAAATGTCAGATAAAGGAAACTGAGAAACAGCAAAGCACACCTCGAGTGCGGGCATCCTTACATCACAGTCTCAGATGTCCTGGGAACACCATCACATCCCACAGGCCTGGGCCCTCACTACAGTCGTCTCCTCATCCTGTGCACACCATCAGAAGGTTGCCTTTTGTATCCGCTTCCAGGCCTTTCTGAAAAAAAAAAACAAAACTATGTTTCCCTTTTTTGTTTCTTATTTTTAAATGACAGATGGTTAGGAAATATCGTCTTCACTCTTATAATTATTTGCCCCGGGTTTTCTCCATCAAACAGCAATTACTCCCAGCAGAGTCTTCCTAAGTAGTTATTTTCTAGCTCCTGCGGAGAATAATCACAGTGAATGTATTCATCTTACGCACTTCGCGGCTTTTCTCAAACTTCCACTGAATATAATTTGTCCCCCAGTAACTAACATCGACACTTTAAGCATGCTCCATAGTTATTTTTTTTTTAAAGTAGACCACATTTTCTGATGAAATATTCATCTGTTTCATGAAGGATAGTTTTCAAAACCTCTCCCCCAAAGTTTACCTTCAATAAGAAGTTAGAAATGTCACTGCCACACGGCAGACATTTTCCGAGGGAGAGGTAGAGTGTGTGTGTGTGGGTGGTGTGGGGGGGAGGCTCTTTATTTTAGGTTTGGATTACTGAACATTTAAGCCACGCTAAGCAATTTACAAAACATGCAAATTATCCACCTTGTAGAGAAGTAAAATCCCTTCTGAATTTATTCCTGAATGCTAGCAATATTGAAAACAAGGTAATTTATATTACACCAAAAACCCCCTTAAAATAGATTTAATAATTTAGTATGTAAATTAACTCCTGGCAAAGTTTCAGAAAGAAGCAATTACCAAGTCCACAGAGGCATTATCACTTGTTTAAACTTGGAAGTAGTAAGCGAATGTCAAAGGTCAAAATCCAGAGATTAGGGCATTTGTAAATTGTAATAGTAAATGTTCAACAACCTTATTTTACCAGAGATCATCCATTATTAATTTAGAAAAAAACACCCTTGGCTTTTGCTGTTCAATGGTGACCACGTTTCACAGATAACCCTTAAAGCCCGAACAAGGATGGCAGTTTGTTGGGTCAAAGATTTGAGGTATGGTGAGAGGGGGGTGTTCCTGACAGAGTCTGCCATTGGAAACTTTCCTGGCTGACTCTAAGCCACTTGTGCTGTTATAACAAAATGTCTCACACGAAGTAATTTAATTTATATATATACATTTTAATGTAATATTTGTTATATTATTAATATAATAAATAATATATATATTTTTAAAGCCTGTTTCTCTGGGCTGGAGAACTGGCTCAGCAGTTAAGAGCAGTGGCTGCTCTTCTGAAGGACCAGGGTTTGAGTCCCAGCATCCCACAGGACAACTTACAACTGTCTGTAACTCCAGTTCCAGGGGATCCCACGCCCTCTTCTGGCTGATGTGGGCACTGCATTCATGTGGTACGCATACATGCATACACATACAATAATATGATAATTTTAAAAATGTTTATTTCTCACAGCTCTGGAAGCTGTCGTCTAAGATCATGGCACAGGCTTTGGATGGCTGGTGGGGGCCCAGTCTGTTTCCAGGACAGAGTCATGAATGAGCCCTCCCCTGAAGAAGATGAACACTGTGTCCATACCTGACAGAGAGTGGAGGTGTGGAAGGAAGAGCCCGGTTACATCTCATTAAAGGTATCTGACTCTTCACCTTGGCTCCATCCTCATGATTTTATTACCTCAGGAGCCCACCTCTACGTGCTATTACTTTGGCGCTGTGTTTCAAATCATAAATTCGGGAGGAGGCACAAACAGTCAGACTATAGCAGCCCCCGTCCCCCAGCCCCTGGACGTCCAGTTCTTTTTTCCCACCTCCTGTGCTTTACCTTCAGAAGAGAAATGGTAATGCAATTGTGTGAAGGAAAGAATTTGCTGCTGCCATTGGGCAGCAAGGTTTCTCAAGCCTGGAGATTGAGAAGGATCTTGCCCACAATGCACTTCTGGAGAACAATAACGTCCCTGGCAACTACTATCGGAGGAGGATAAAGATAAACACAAAGTTCGTGAGTCCCTGGAGAGTACCAAAATCAGGACCCCTCAGTGGTTCTCAACATGTGGGTCATGGCCCCTTTGGGGGTTTGAATGACCCTTTCACAGGGGTCATATGTCAGATATCTTGCATAGTAGAGATTTACATTATGATTCGTAACTAGCAAAATTACAGTTATAAAGTCGCAATGAAAATGATTTTGTGGTTGGGGGGTCATCACAACCTGAGGAACTGTATTGAAGGGTCACAGATTAGGAAGGTCGAGAACCACCATTGGTCTATTGGTTTAAGGGAAATGCAATCTTGAATCCAGATGCTGGCATTCAAGGAAACCAACGCTATTGTTAAGAAAAGAAAAGGAAATAAGGGAAGAAAGAAAATAGAGAGACAAGGAGAGGCAGAGGACCCTTCCCAGAGTCCCGCAGAGCAACAGTTAGAAGCCAGTTAATATGAATTCTGACAGTGAGTCCTTTCTCTCCGACCGTTCCTAGTGCAAGTCACTTAGAGCCAAGCCCGACAAGGCTCCGACTCGCCTCCCCCGGCCAGGCAGTGTCCATGATTACACACCTCAGAGGCAATGACAGTGGTTCCCAGCCACTCCTGCATTCCCTGATGCTGTCACACCTCCTTCCTGTTTTCCTCTGAGCCTGCCCCACCCTCCCCAGCCCAGAGGGACTGTCCCAGGCTCTCTAGCCGGTCAAACACTGCCTGCAGAGGGGCTGTTTAATATGCCAGTCTACGCCCGCCCCTGGAAGCTCTGAAACCCTGCAGAGGAACGGCCCCCCGGCCTCCATGAAATACCCACTCATCGGCGCGTTTCTGCACCTCTCATGCTCCGGTTGTGAGCCTCATTCTCCTCTTCTTCTGACTCATGCTTCTCCGGAGCAGTGAGGACAGAGGTCTCCTAACAAGGTCATGCCACTCACACCTCCACGGGTAGTGCCCAGTGGGCTGTTCTTCCTGCCCCATGCGTGGGCTTAGGGCAAAACCTGTTTCAGTCAGAAAGACAGACCGACCGCCTGAAGGGATTTGCCTTTAGAAAGCCGTCTCTCGCCACGTTCTATAACCCTTATTCCAGACATATTTGGGTTCTCCCTCCTCTGCGCCCCACCCCTCAGCTAGTCTATAAATTCCCTGAAGCCAGACCCAATATAATTACTTTTCAAACCCAATAGTTTAGTGTGGGGATTGCCAGGGTTAAATATTTTTCGAAGGGAGCAGTGTGTGGTCACTCACTCCTGTAATTCCAAGCACTAGAGAGGCTGAGGCAGGAGGATGATCCATGAGTTGGAGGCCAGATTAGGCTATAGAATGAGTTCTAGACCAGCCTGTGCTACAGGGTGGGGCCTTGTCTCAAAAAAAAACAAAAACAAACAAACAAACAACAACAACAAAACCTAGAAGCAACAAAGGCATCAGAAATTCCGAAGGAAGTAAGAAAGTTTGAGGGGTGGAGGTCCAATAGGAACCGTGGGAAACAGGACTAGGATCCTGTTCTCTTTGGGCCCCAGCCAGCTGTATTGGAGCCTCATCGAAAGCCCTGTCTTTCCCTCCAAAGTTCAATATCCTTCCCCCTCTCCTTCCACCAAGGGCCCACAGGGGACCTGGGACCCAAGGACAGGACACTGATGCTCCTCCAGAGCAGTCTGGCAACTGTGACTCAAGCCTTGGGTTATTGAGGAGGAAGCTACCGTTGACAAGGCACACAAAAGCCAGATGTACTGGCAGGCCAGCCTCTCACTCAGCCTTCCAGGGCAGAGTCTTCACTGCCAAGGTGCTCTGGCGATTACATCATGACACCTTGAGGTCGGAGCCTTTGCAGATTCCCAACAGATGTGGTCTACTGTTAGAATAATTACAGTCATGTGTCTCTAAATGATGGGGATCTGCTCTAAGAAATGCATCCTTAGGCAGTTTTGTGGAGGACCGTCACAGAGTATTCCTTCAAGCCTGGATGGGAAGGCTCCGTCACCCGGATGGGCAGCACACCCTGGGTGTATGACGCTGCTGTTGGTGAACACATGGCTGCCTGCCTGTTAAGCAGCTAAACTCTCGTTTTAGTCTAGAAGAAGTGTACCCTAGGAGCAGTAAAGAGTCGGGTAAACAAGTCAGGAATGTAGTCATCCATTATCAAGCATGTTGTACTGTAACTAATGGAGAGTTGTTGAGAATGGCATCATAGACTTGTGAAAACATGTTATGCCTTAAATGTCAGGTGGTGATAGGAATTTTTCAGTTCCATTGTAATCTTACGAGGCCACCCTCATTTATACCATCTGTCACTGAAACATTATCATACCACACATGGTCATATTTGTCAGCCCTTGGCTGGGCAGTCCATTGATCTCGAGGCTTTTAGAGCTAGAAGATGTCTTAGCATCCGTGTGGTCTAATCCCTGCTGTTGGTTGTTTTTTAGTCCTTACTCTTTGCTCTTTTGGGGGCCCACCAACCAGCTCCCAAATAAATCACACACAAAGGCTTATTCTTAATTATAAATGCCCGGCCTTAGCTTGGCTTATTTCTGGCCAGCTTTCCTTAACTTAAATTATCTCATCTACCTGTTGCCTCTGGGCTTTTGCCTGTCTCTATTTCTGTATGCCTTGCTTTCACTCTTACTCCATGTCTGGCTGTGTGTCTGTGTGGCTGGCCCCTGAGGTCCTCCTCTCCTTGTTCTCTTGTTCCTTCCACTTCCCCATCCCAGATTTCTCCTTCTATTTACCCCCTCTGTCTGCCAGCCCCACCTATTTCTTTCTCCTGCCTAAGTATTGGCTGTTCAGCTCTTTACTAGGCCAATCAGACAGGCAAAGTATCACAACTTCACAGAGTTAAGCAAATGCAACATAAAGGAATGCAACACATCTTTGCATCATTAAGCAAATGTTCCACAGCATAAACAAATGTAACACACCTTAAAATAATATTCTACAAGAAATCCCCTCATTTTACAGATCAGAAAGCTGACGCTTGCCAGGTACTGTAAGTGGAACAATGAGTGGAATAGACTACAATGCTTGGTAGAGAAAATGTTTTTCTCTGACTTTTCTCTATAACTGGTTTTTTTTCCCCTTCTGAATATAACAATAACAAGCCCAGTGCTGACAAAACTAAAACACTAAATAAAATTAGATATTAAAAACAATACTGGGGCTGGACAGAGATGGCTCGGCAGTTAAGAGCACTGGCTGTTTTTCCAGAGGACCAGGGTTCAATTCCCAGCACCCACGTGGCAGCTCACAACCGTCTGTAACTCCAGTTCCAGGGGATCCGACACCAGTTCACAGACATACATGCAGGTGAAACACCAATGTATATAAATAAAATAAAATTAAAAACAACAGCAATAAAAAAATCCCAATACCCATGGCTGAGGAAGACGGCTCTGTGGATAAGAACACTTACTGTACAGACACGAGGACCTGAGTTCGAATCTCAGCACTCACACAGAATGGCTAGGGCCAGCCACACACCCACACCTGGCCACACACATGTAACCCGGTGCTATTGTGAGTGAAGACAGGAGAATTTCCGGGGCTTGACATTAGCCAGCCCAGCTCCAGGTTCAGCGAGAGACCCTGTCTCATAGGAAGAGGGTAGAGTGTGTTAGAGCAGGGTATCTGATGTCCTTCTCTGACCTCTGAATGTGTGTACACAGGGGTGTAGCTAGAGTTTTCCTGCCTTGCCCACAGTCAGGACAAATCTCTGTCACCCGCCAGTCCCACAGCCGCTCAGACCCAACCAAGTCAACACAGAGACTTATATTGCTTACAAACTGTATGGCCGTGGCAGGCTTCTTGTTAACTGTTCTTATAGCTTAAATTAATCCATTTCCATAAATCTATACCTTGCCACGTGGCTCGTGGCTTACCGGCATCTTCACATGCTGCTTGTCCTGGTGGTGGCTGGCAGTGACTCCTTCTGCCTTCCTGTTCTTTCTTTTCTCCTCTCTGTTAGTCCCGCCTGTACTCCCTGCCTAGCCACTGGCCAATCAGTGTTTTATTTGTTGACCAATCAGAGCAATTTGACATACAGACCATCCCACAGCAGAGGGGTGCACACCCAAATGTTGTTTTACCTTAGGCACCGTGGCTGTGCCTTAATCTACTGCTATTTCAGTCAGCAGCTGCGACTCAGCAGTTAGCCACCTGCTTCTCTGGCAGCGGCCACGGCCTGGTGGGAATTCTGTCCTCGCAGGCACTGGCTCTGCCACTGCCGCTAAAGGTAGCTTTAACTAAATCTCTGTTGTTCTATTATAAATAAGACTCAAGAGTCAAAGGCTGGGGTGAAAACCTGCTAGCTTGGAGAGGATGAGCAGCACCCACCTAACCTCTCCCTGCTGGCACCCACCTAACCTCTCCCTGCTGGCGTCTCCCGAAAAGCCTGTACGCTCCTCCAAAACAGAAAAAGCCTCACCACTCAAAAACCCCTCCCTGCTACTTCCGGTGCATCTCTTGATCTCTTCCAGATGCCCTCTGATGCTCTGTGGGTACTTTCTGTCAACTGGCTGCTAACGCCACCTCCTGAAGAAAGGTTAGTTTTATTTAATTAATGCAAAGGCAAACTCGGGGTTCACAGTATGACCGAATATCCCCCAACACCTAAACACACATGCATGCACATAAACTGCACAAGCATACAGAACATAATATACATACAAACTTAATCCATATTTTGCAATTCATTAAATGCTGTCACATTGACCCATGGTTTGAGACAGTTTACTTGTGCTTTAGATTAGGCTCTAGCAAACAGATTATTTGCTTGGTGAATGTTTGTATACTATATGTTCACACACATAAATAAATGGTATTGTGTCTTTAGAAAATATATTTTACTTTATTAAAACTATATATTTTCTCTCGTAATGGAGATGATTTTACCATAACCAGTGAGCTTTACTTTCTCACTGGGAAAAGAAGCATTAAAAAAATACAATTCCAGGGACTAGAGAGTTGGCTCCATCAGTAAAATTCCTGTTGCACAAGCGTGAGAACTTGGGTCCCTAGCACTGGGCATTGGCACGTGCCTGTAACCCCAGCGCAGGAAGATGGGCACAGCAGATTCAGGGAGCTGGCTGGCCAGCCAGTCTGGCCAATCAGTGAGGGACACTGTCTCAAAAAATAAGGTGGAGAGTGATTGGAGAAGACACCTCCTGTTACCCCGGTCTCCACACATATAAATGTGCATCAGTTCCCTCATGCATGTGTATTTGAGTGTGTGTGCACACACACAATGTTTGTTTTTGTTGTTTTAAGACAGGGCCTCTCTACATAGCCCTGGCTGTCCTGGATCTCACTTTGTAGACCAGGCTGGCCTTGAACTCACAGAGATTCCCCCTGCCTCTGCCTCCCGAGTGCTGGGATTAAAAGCATGTGCCACCACACCTGACATACACACAGTTTTTAATTTAAAAAAAATGAAAGAATTCCATTCTAAAACTGTGTATTCTCCAATCACTGCTAACATACTGATTTTGGTGGTTGCTTTTTGCTGTAAGTACAGATGTATATGACTGAAACCATTGGAATTGATATTCTAAGTTCTTAATACACGCTGCCAAATTATTTTGTGGTTTATTCTAATTTAAACTCTCTAGCATCACTGAGTGTGAATGATTATCATAATATCTCACTTTTTTGTAAACTAGATTATATCAAATGGAATTAAATGAATAAGGAAGTACCAGATACCATAGAGCCTCAAGTAAAAAATATGGCAGAGATGGAGAAAACATCTCTTGTAATCTATTTTGTTGATGTTATTTCCTCTGCTCTCAAAGGGGAAAACCACAGCCAAATACCCAGAGCACACAGTAGAGAGCAAAGCTCTCAGATCCCAGAGATTTCCTAAGGGCTCAAGTAGGTGTTCTTCGAAACCACAACTCATTCAAGAGGGCACACACCATAGACAGAACCCACAGAACACCAGAATTTTGAAACTAACCTTCTGAAACAGTTCATTTTTAGTCCACCGACTGCCTTCCTAAGGCTTGCCTGTCTTAGTCACTGTTCTGTGGCTGTGAAGAGACACCATGGCCACGGCAAATCTTACGAGAGAAAAAGCATTTAACTGGGGGGTTGCTCACACTTTGAGAGGGTTAGTCCATGATCATTACGGTGGGAAGCGGGCAGACAGGCACGGGAGCAGTAGCTGAGAGTTTTACATCCTGATCCACAGGTGGCAGGCAGGGAGAGACACTGGGCCTGGATGGGCTTTTGAAACCTCAAAGTCTACCCCCCAATGATATAGCTCTTCCAAGAAAGCCACGCCTCCAATCCTTCTAATCCTTCTCAAACAGTGTGGTGGTTTGAAAGAAAATGGCCCCCATAGGGAGAGTTACTATTAGGAGATGTAGCTTTGTTGGAGCAAAGATGGCCTTGTTGGAGGACGTGTGTCACTGTGGGGGTGGGCTTTGGGGTCTCCTATGCTCAAGCTCCACCCAGTAACACAGTTCATTTCCTGTTGCCTGTGGATCAAGATGTAGAGATCCCAGCTCCTTCCTCAGCCCCACGTCTGCCTGCATGCCAAGTCCCACCATGATGATCATGGACTGAACCTCTGAAACTGCAGGCCACCCCAATTAAATGTTTTCTTTTATAAGAGTTGCCGTGGTCATGGTGTCTCTTCACAGCAATAGAAACCCTAACTAAGACAAATAGTTTTATTCCCTGGTGACCGAACAAACAGCTGAGCCTATGAGGACCATGCTCACTCAGACCACAATAGCTTTCCAGTGCTGCTGGTGGTGTTGCTCTTGTTACACTGTGTCTAAAAAATATCAGTGTGGATTAACTATCTGGGGTGAATTATCCACACTAATATTGTGACCGCACTGTTGGGGGGAAGGGAAATCATATTAAGGGAAGGTCAGCGGAGGCAGTACTCAGAGTTTGCAGCCCTCAGTAGCTTTCTCTTCCCTGGTTAAGGGGTGGCATGGCTGGTACACGATGTCAGCATGAAAGGCTACCTCTGTTATCTGCAGATAACCGAGAAATAGCCATGGGAGAAGTAGAGCGGGAGCGGAGTGGAAATCTCTGGATTGTATTTCCTAAACATCAAGACGCATGGGAACAAGTATAAAATTTTGGAATCTGTTAAATATAATGCTGCCGTTAGTGTCATCATTGGAAAAATAAAATTCCTTCATACGGAATGTATTTGCCTGCCTGTGACTGTTACTTGTCAGCCATCAATGCCACCATTGTTCTGAAGCCTTTGTGTTAAAATATGCATAAAAACCATGATAATGGAAGAGTGGAAATCAGACTCTCTCCTGACGTTCAAGGCCTTAGAGAGCAGGTCACTCAGCAGCCTTTGAAGTCTGATCTCTCCCCTACACCAAGCTTTGCTCCTGGGAAACTAGGTGTACAGCATTCCTTCCTGCGACCATGTGCGTCCTCAGCGAGGGCCCTTCGGAATGCTCCTCCTCCTACGCTGTCTGGAAGTTCTGTCAATCACGGGTCATCTCACGTGTTACTCCCCCCCATGACATCTCCCTCTCATGAACCCTTCTCGGATGTGTGCATGGTCTTCTCCATTTACATCCCCTGCCAGGCTTAGACAGAGGTTCAGTCGGTGAACTCACATCACCACATCAGGAGCATGCAGAAGCCGCAGTTTGTGTTCGAGTTTACTGTTAGTGGTGAACAGTCTGTGGATTACGACAAGTGTATGATGGCTTGTAGCCACCATTCCAGCTCCTTTGAAAGCATTTTCACTGTGTTGAAAATCTCCTGCATTCCCTTGTCCGTCTATCCCACCTACCTACCGTGGCAGCCATAGATCTTTCTGCTGTATTCGTTGATTTCCCTTCTCTGGATGCCAAGTAGTTGAAAATTATACAGCACGTTTCCCTTTTAGATTGGCTTTCTCCCCCAACCTGTGTGTGTGTGTCTGTGTGTGTGTGTTACTCATGTGTGTACATGTGGGAGTGTGAGCATGGGTGCATGTGGAGGTTGAAGTTAAGTGTTGTCCTTTATCATGGTCCACCTGAGTTCGAGGCAGGGCTTCTCACTGTTTGGAACTCACCAAGGCTCACCTAGAGAGCTCCAAGGATGTCCCTACTTCCTCAGCACTGGGACTACAGGCTCACACTACCATGCCCAAAGAGCCTTTTACATTGATGTTGGGATCTGAACTCGGATTCTCATGTTCGGGTACCAAACACTTTACCAATTGAAGTGTCTCCCCAGCTCCGTCAGATTGGCTTCCTGTTTCCAGTAATAATGTAGTTAGTGTTCCTTCATATATTTTTCAGGCCTTTTTATTTTAATGCTGAATAATATTCCACTGCTTATAATGCTTCCAAGTTTTGACGATTATGAGCAAAGCTGTGGGGTTTTGTGTAAACATACGTTTTTAGAACTTATGGAAAAACTCCAGGGCTCACAATCATGGGGTCATGTGACGAGTTTATACGGATTGTGACATGTCATCAATTGTCTCCCCAAATGACTGTCATGCCATTTTTACATCCTCACCTCAAGTGTTACCCTGCTCCTCTGTTAGCTTTTGTTATTGTCATTGTTTAGAGTCTCAGATGCATCAGCAATGGCATCTTACTGCTGTTTGAACTTTCATTTACTCATGTCTTACAGGGTGGAAGAAACTTTATACGGGGGCACAGTGTCTTTGATGAGGCATCTGTTAAGGTCTTTGGCCTGTGTTTCTGTTGGCTTGTTTGTTCTCTTATTATTGAGTTTCTGAGTTCCTTTGTAATCTCCAGCACGCCCTGCCATGCCACTCAGCAAAATTAAAGAGTTGTTTGTATATTCTCCATAATGATCACTGATCGTGCGTGGGTTTTGGTGGAGCTGAGATGCAGCTCCAGCTCAGCGGTAGAGCGTTTCAGAGCCCCGCGGTTCAATCCCCAGCACTGCAGAAAAGGAGAGTGCTCTCTGTCAGTCACTCCTCTCACTGTCCTCATCTAAATATTGTGCATTATGATGACGTCTAACACGTCCATTACATTTTGTAGATTGTGCTTTTGCTGTTTGTATAAACAGTTAGCCCTGTGGTCAAGGTCTTCTTACCTCCCAGGAGGCTTAACAGTGTTGTGCTTTAAATCTTGATATATGAACCATTTGGAGTGGATTTTTGTGAAAGGTGTAAGACCTGTGTCTAGGTTTATTTTCCTTTGGGTGGGTGTGAAGGCATCTAGTTCTAGCACCACTTGTGGAAAAGGACTTTTGAAAAAATCCTTGTCTTTGCTCCTTTGTCGTTTGAGGGCTGGGGAAATGGAGCAGCCAGTGAAGTCCTTGCCTTGTGGGCAGGAGGACCTGCTTTTGATCCCCAGAACCCACATAACACCAGCCCAAGCCTGGTGTCATCTTGAGAGGCGGTGGGGACAGGAGGGTCCCTGGGGCTTGCTGTCCAGACAGTGTAGTCTAATTGAGAAGCTTCAGGTCAGTGGGGACCCTGTCTCAAAGGAAGTGGGCAGTGTTCCTGGGATAACACCGGATATTGTCCTCAGCCTCCATATGTACACACACACACAGACACAGACACACACACACACACACACACACACACACACACACTCACCCACTCACGCATGCACCCACGCATGCATGCAAACTCATAAACATTCAGTTGACTGTTTATTTTTAATCTCTAGTCTCTCCGATCCATTGACCTAGTTTCCTATTCTGGCACTTGGACACACTGTCTGGATCACTGCAGTTTTACAGTAAGTCATGAAGTCAGGTAAAGTCTGCCCTCTAGCATTTATCCCTCAATGCTGTGTTGCCATTTCAAGTTCATCTGCTTCGATGCATTACTCGAGGATCGGTTTGTTATTCCACAAGTAACCTTCTAGATTTTGATTGGGGTTGCATTGAATCCAGAAATCAAGTTGTGGAGAAATAACACACTGACCAATTGGTGTCTACCTATCCATGAACATGGACTACCTCTCCATTCATAACTGATTCCTTGTTAAAATTCATTTTTTAAAGGTAGCGGATGATATTGCGTTCTTTTGATGAAAGTTCTCTGGCAGTGGAAGCCCCGCTTTAGACAACAGGGTTGTCAGAGTCTCCCAGCTTGTTTCTGCACTTCTCCACTGGGCATTCGCTGTAGAGAAATGCCTGTCTCAGCGGGGACCATGTTGGACGATAGTGCTCGCCTATTCGTGGCTGTGCTCATGGCTGTTTCCAGTAGAGCGTAACTGGAAGTAACAAGTATCACTTCGGGGCTAGGTATTCGTGGGGGGCCCTGTGTTCTCATGCCCTACAGGACGGGAGCTCAAGACAGGAGTTTGGGCTCATGAAGTACCACGTGGAAGAAATTTGCTCTCCTACTAAGAACGCCTGAGAGTGCCATAGTCGCTCCATTGAATTGAGTAAAATAAATGCCTGCTGGGTTAAACCGAGGCAACCTAATGTTCTTGTTCTTACTGCACTCCGCCCTTTCCCTGACTGATACATGGTGTTCTGTTAGTGCTCAGGTCATTTCATATAACTCGGATCGAGAGGCCTATAGTAAATTCAGCTGGTGACAAACACAAGTATTTTACTGGTGGAACATAGTCTGAGATACCCGAAAACATCAAAATACTCTTTCCATCTAAATTTTGGAGAGTATTTCTGAAGGAAAAACCCCCTCCACCCAGTACTTTGCTTTATGAAGTACAAAGTCATTCACTTTGAAATCAGTTGTCACTTGGTTCTTGGCAAAGAAAAAATAAGACATTTTGCAAACTGGCGGTCATTCTGGCAAATGTAGATGCCAAATTTTCTTGTGGCTACATAAGCCAGATGGTGGCAGGATGAAGCGTGCTCCTTTCTGACTGTCAGATTCCTGAGTCCAACTTCCAGACGAGGCATAATTAGTAAACAGGGGCCCTTGGCCAAGCCACACTTCCACATGCACCCCAAATAGCGGTTCACTATAAACTGATAGTGTTCTTACTGCTGGTATTACCTGAGGTTGAACTAGGGCCGAAAAAGGAGAGCTACTCCTTAGCCCCAAAGTATCCTCAGAACAAACAAGGTTGGGTCTTTAGTCCTTCAATTCCAGCGTTAGGATAATTCAGTGTGATTGAATATTATACTAGAATACCAGGATCTGGGGCTGCAGAGATGGCTCACTTTGGGTTAGGAGTGCTTGCAGATATTGCAAAAGATCCAAGTTCAGTCCCCGGCTCCCACTGCCTGTAATTCCAGCTCCAGGGGATCTGGTATCATCTTCTAGCCTCCACAGGCCTTGTACTCTCATACACAGATCCACACCAATACACATACACATAATTTAAAAATAAAAATTTAAAACTCTTTGAAAATAAATGGAAAACATCAAAAGCAATGAAGAAAAGATAATGGCAGAATTTTGGCATACAGCCCTCCTTCCTATCCTCCCTTTCTCCATCCCTCCTTTCTGTCTCCCTTCATCCCTTTACTTTTCTCCGTAACTTTGGTTGGAGGTACTTTTTAATCTTCTTACAAGAGCTCTTATATTTTTAACCTACTGACTCAGTTTCTTTCTTTTCTGGCTCAGTAAGGTAGCTTCCATTGTTGTAGAGTTTAGAGACATTTTCTTTTGATTTGTTTTTATTCCTAGGTCACCTGAATCACCTAACAGGCCTACCATAGCATCAGGTTGTTTTCCCCAAACATGCCACGTTGGTTACTTTTCTTGTCCCTGGAATGAAATACCCAACAAGAAGCAGGCAGGGAAGCTTGTTTCGCCTCATAGTTTGAAGGTCTTCTCCGTCATGACTGGAAAGGCTTGGCAGCAGGAGCAAGAGGCCTCGGATCACACAGGGTCCACAATCAGGATGCAGAGTGCAGACAGGAAGTGAGGCCAAACCAGGACTCCCAAGGACCACTCTCAGTGGCCCATTTCCTCCAGATCAGCCCGTCTCCTCCTAACTCAAGGCCTGTCCTCCCACAGCTGGGGATGGAGCAGACAGAGTTGGCCTGCCTCTGCCTCCCCGGCACTGGGGTTACAAGTGTGAGCCACCACACCTGGCTCTTTTTTTTTTTTTTTTTTTTTTTTAACATGTCTGGTCTGGGAATGGAATTGAGGAAAGACCTCATGCTTACAACAAAAGCACTCAACCAACCAGCCATCTTCTCCTCAGTCCCAGAGCCCACACATTTTGATAGGCTGCCTTTGTGTCTTTTTCTTTTGCTGTGTTAAAATACTCTGACAAAAAACGACTTAAGGGAGAAGAGGTTTATTTTAAGTCACATTTTCAAGTAGAGTCTATCGTGGAGGAGAGTCGGGGCAGCAGGAGGCTGAACTGTTCAGTCAGGAGAGAGCAATGCATGCATGCATGCTGCTGCTGCTCAGTTAGGAGAGATCAATGCATGCATGCTGCTGCTGCTCAGGTAGGAGGGATCAATGCATGCATGCTGCTGCTGCTCAGTCAGGAGAGCAATGCATGCATGCTGCTGCTGCTCAGGTCCCCCTCTCTGCTTACACAGTCTAGGATCTCTGATCTAAGGAATGGTCCTGACCACAGTTAAGGTGGCTCTTCCCACATCAATTAACGTAATCAGCATTATATGTAGATGAATTTCTAAGCGGTCTCATTAAATAAAAAACATAGAGCCAAATACAGGGGTGAAAGCCTTAGAGATCAGGGAAATAGTGATAGCCACCAACTTTACCTCTCCAGCTCTGCAGCTACCAAAAGTGAGTTACTTCCTGTCTACCCACACCTCTATTGCCTTGCTGTTCTGCCCTCTCATTGGCTCTTGGCACAGCTACCTCACTTCCTTGTCACTTCCTGTCTGTACAGACCTCCAGGTCTCTGTGGTTGGTACTGGGATTAAAGGTGTGTGTCACCATGCTTGGCTGTTTCCTAGTGTGTCCTTGAACACATAGAGACCCTGTTTGCCAAGTGATCAGATTAAGGGCGTGTGCTACCACTGCCTGACTTTTGTGTTAAAGGCTTGCTATTTCCTCTGATCTCCAGGCAAACTTTATTGATTAACATACAAATAAAATATCACCACATTTTAGCACAAATAAAATACTACCACAATTATACATCACGCGAATGCTCAGAATCTCATCTCCCAGGTAACTAGATTCTGCCAAGATAACAATATTAACAATCACATAGATCAAGGATGACTTGCACCATTTTGAGAGACTTATTAATGAATATTAAATGAATTAATGTATTGAGTCACACCATACTTTCAGATATCAGAGCAGTACAGAATTTGGTAAATATCAATTCATAAGTCTCCCACTAATATTTAAGTTGCTATTATACTAATATAAGTTACTATATTACAAGGCAAAATAAAATAGTTCTTCGTATGGGTAAAAAAATTTGAAACTCACTAATTTGAAAATACTTTTTTCTGGATATTACTGAATTTATAATTTAACCATATTGTTAGGATTTCTTAGAAAGTAAAGAAAAAGATCAAGTTTTTAGTAATTAGTATTGTTCCTTAAGGTAAAATGAAGACATAGAAATAATTTCTCTTTGAAAGCATAGAGCAAAACTTGATTGTAAAATTCTTTTACAGTGGAGACTTTAGAAAACAAGCTTACTAATGAGTTTATCATGTATTTGCCTGATTGTTAGCTTTAAAGACGTAATCCTTTGTGTAATTCTCCCGCCCTCCCTCTCTTCCTTACATCTCCTTTTCTCAGTGCTGAGGATTGAACCCGGGGCCTCATGCATGCTAGGCAAGCCTCTTTCCACTGAGCTACATCCAAGTCCAAGACTCACTCTTGAAAAACAGCTGTCTCGAGATATACCGAGCACACTATTAAGGTCACCCAGAGGAAGTAGACAGTGACTCTGAGGATGTTCACAGAAGTGCACAGCATCCTCTGAAAAAGAAAGCTCTTGCTCGTGAGCATGAGCTCCTCACACTCTGCCATCCCCACGCCTACTCAACCGCTCTTCTTTCTTCTGTCTCCAGAGGTTTATGGATTCTGCACACTTCCACAAACACAGCACTAGCTGATGCATACAGTTGCGCAGGCCCACCTGCAGTATTTTGTGACTTCACTTAGTATGCTTTTTCAAGGTTAATCCACAGCGTAACATCTGTCAGGACTTCTTTCCCTTCCGTGAGTAAGTAATATCCCATCATATGGATTCACCACACTGTGCTCATCTAGTCAGCTTTTGATGACAGTGCCTCCTCTGCTAGTTCCTCCTACAGTCATCTTTGAAAAATGTTCATGTAGTAGTAAGAAATGGTGGCATCCTTTCCTGTGCCTTTTGTCTGTTGTTTCTCCCTGAGAGAAATATGTCCATTCTGTTCCCTCTGTCTCACATGCTGGACTGAGCTGCGACTCTTCCCTGACTACTCAAGACTGTTAGCACAATTATATCTTTATCGACAGCTCTATTAAATACACCTCCATGCACTAACATGATTTTTGTCCTTAGGATTTTTTTTTTATCTCTAAAGAGGGGATAAGCATCTCCATACAGCAATACAATAGTCCTCCATACCCACAGCTTTGCTTTCTACAATTTTAGATATGGAAAGTTCTAGAAATATCTATATCTATATGTGTGTATGTAAATGTTATATATAACACATATGTGTATATATTATACATGTATACATAACACATGCATATATGTGCGTGCTATACATGCATATACAACATATATGTGTATATGTGCTTTAAATTATATGTGATTTATAGCAGTAAGCAAAAATCACACTCAGGACATGAATTGTTCCTTTGTCCAGTGTCTCC